GTGGGGCAGAACCTTGGAGCGCTTGACTATGGCGGAGCTTGATACCGAGCCGGGGGGGGGGGGGGAATGAGGTGACCGTAATCATGAGTACTATCACTTCTCTACGTGTCTTCACAGTGAATACTGTAATGAATGCAGACAATAGGCCACACCAGTGAACTGCAAACAGTTGTGGATTGAGTGACTAAATTATTAATTTTAAAAACATTTTTTCTTAAGGGATTATCGCCCCGGGAAAAGCGTTCTGCCAATCGACTAACAACTGGGTTTCTACCTACTGCTCGGTAAACAGAAGAGTGTGGAGCAATATCCTAATATCTTGCCCCAACCGGGAGTCGAACCCAGGTCCTCTCGCTTCCGAGGCGAGTGCTCCAAACGCTGAGCTACAGGGTTTCAATGGCGTTTGATCCATGAGGTTCCTTTGCTGTTCCGTGTGGGTACGTGGGGGACTGGATGAGACCAGAGGTTTAATGAGTCCAGTCAGGCACAAACAAATAGGGCTTGAACTTCAATCATGTCACGACCTGAAAATTCCACTCAATATCTGTTTCTCCTTTACGATTAGACTTAAAGGGCTCGATGTGTTGCGATTTTACCCCTGAGAAAAACAGCACAAACACATAATAAATCTGCGATCAGGCGTAGAGTTTCGGGGCTGTGTTAGATCAATCAAGAAATCAACTCCCCCCCCACCCCCCCACACCACTACCGCAATAAAAATCGCTGGCTCACTTTATGACTGTCTGTAAGCCATCGCTGTGCGTAAATTGTTACCCCAACAAAAGACACAGTCACTCCACCTTAGCCCGAAGCGCTTTGAGACATCTTCCCGACGTGAAAGGTGCTGTATCAACAACAAGATTCCATTTACAGAGCGCCTTTCACGTCGGGAGGATGTCCCAAGGCGCTGGACAGTTTGGTCGGGACCCGAGCATTGGGGGGAAATGGTCAGGGTGAGGGGAGGGAAGGGAGGGAGCGAGGAGCGGGGAAATGGTCAGGGTGAGGGGAGGGAAGGGAGGGGGCGAGGAGGGGGTAGAGAGTCGATACGGGAGCCGAAGGTACGGTCAAAGAGAAAGGTTTTGAGACCGGCCTTGAAGGAGGAAAGAGAGGAGGCGGCGAAGGCACTGGGGGATAGAGTTCCAGAGCCTCGGGGCTGAGAGGCTGAAGGCCCGGCCACCGATGGTAGGGCGGTTGAGGTGGGGGATGTGGAGCAGACCGGAGCCAGAGGAACGGAGGGTACGGGCAGGTAGGTAGGGGGATAGTAGGTTGGAGAGGTAGGAGGGAGCGAGGCCGTGAATGGCCTTGTAGGTGAGGATGAGAATCTTGAATTCGATCCTCTGGGGATCCTCTGGTATCCAAAGCAAAGATTACTATTGCAATTTGTTATTTGATTTGCGTTGTGTCGCGAAAAGGATTCCTATCCATCGTGCAGCTCCAATGAGTCCGGCCAAAATCGCAGCGCTCCAATTACCCCGCAAGAGGGGACGCTGGAAACCTCGCGACTGTCTACTGAGCAGAAGTTGGCTCAGCTGTGTGTTTCTGACGCCCCGGTGGTGTTTGTGCCTTGCTAAACCCCTTCCAGGCTACCCGTTCAATAAGTAGCGGCAAGGGTGATTAGCAAGAGAATCATTCTGAGGGTGAATTGTTCATATTGCTGATGAAATAGAACCCCCGAACTCACTAACAGCAGCGGCTCAGGTCACACCTCAGCCCTGACTGATGCAGCATCTCAGGAAAGCATTGGATTTCCACGCAGCAATGTCTCCCCCCGTCGAGCGAGCGAGCGAGATTTTATTTGGGGGGATTGTCAGCCGGGTCACCGGGCGAGAGAGAGAGAGAGAGAGAGAGAGAGAGAGAGAGAGAGAGAGACTCCCTTCTCTTTTCGAATAGCACCGTGAGATCATTAACGTCCGAACAGGCAGACGGGACCTTGGTTCAACGTCTCATCAGAAGGCACAGAGCTCCCCCAACCTGAGACTGTGAGTTCGAAACCCAAAGGCAGAGCTTGAACTCAAAACCTTCTGACTCGGAGGCGAGACTACTGACTGAGCGAGGCTGACACCAGCTAAACCGGACTCGTTTCAAAACGACAGCTTGATGCGGTAGGTCGGCTATTCTAGAGGGATGGAACCAAATGGGCCAAAGGGCATTCAACACCTGAAACTCTCGTGTGATCTGCACACACACACACACACACACACACACTATAAAGTCTGGGTAATATTAAAACGGGCCACAAACAAATAACAGACACGTTCATCGTTTTATCCTTAACTATAATCTCTCTTAGAAACCTGAAGTTATTCAGTAATCCCAAACTCTGACCTAGTCCAGCTAGGCTCGTCCACAGAGCAATAATGATCTTAATGGAATAATAATAATCTTCCCATTTGTTTGCGGGTTCCAATCCCGCGACCATCAGGACATGGAATCACGTAGTCTAAGCTAACGCTCCAATGCGGCGCTGGGGGGGTGTGGGGAGTGGGTGTTGCATTCACCTGCAAATACACTCACTACAGTTGACACCCCTCTTCGACCGTGCCTTCGGGTCACCCTTTCTACCCTCCCTGCCCTCCACACCCCACCCCCCGCGCCCCCCGCCCCCCGCTTTACAGATGATTTTGTGTTGTACTGTACTGTAAATCCTGTGAAAATGCAACCAACTCCTCGTTGTAACGTTATATTTTCCTAACGCAGACCTTTAGAGACAGTCAATACATTGAAGTCAATACTGAAGGAAAATGACATGACATTGCTTATTGGACTTTTAACACTTGGACCCTTTGCCTTTGCCCCCCCGTCCCCTCCTCATAAAAAACGAGGTTCTAAGTTCAGAGCTCTCTCTGAGAGAAAATACCTCACCCCCCCCCCCCACCCCACCACCCCACCACCCCACCACCATGGCAAACAAAATATTTGCTTTGTTCAATCAGTCCAGTTAGGCAAACATTACAGAATGTGTGCACAACGAGTTCCTTGTCAACCTTCCCCAGTCCAGGCTGCTGCCTATCCACTGAACAATACTACTTACTGCCTCAGAAAACACCGGCTTGCCTTCACACAGGATAGCGTCTCGGAGCGCTTAACGGCTGTGTGGCTTGAGGCTGGGAAGAGAAGGGTGGTGGTGTGGGTGGGGTGGGTGGGGGTGGGGGGGGGGTGAGAGGGAGTGAAGGCAGGACATGATTTTCCAAACAAAATAAACAGTCAGTTTACTTCACGGTATATTCTGTGAAGCGCTTTGAGACCTCTCGAACAACAACAACTTGCGTTTGTATAGTGCCCCTCACGCACAGTAGCGTCTAGAAGACGTTTAAGGCGCTGCATCAAATGCAAGGATTATTATTTATTACGATCTGAAGATGTGATTTAATAGAAGGGCGGAACAGACTCGAGGGGCTGAATGGCCTTCTCCTGTTCCTATGTTTCCTGTGTTCCTGAGTCGGGCAAAGAGGGGGCAAGACGGAGGGAGATCTGGAGTTACAAAGCCCAGCTTGCCTCCGCCGGCAGTATGGAGATCATTGCACCCCGTTAAGAAAGCGTTGGTTCATTAAGCAACTACCAAATGTTTCTGCTGTCTCTCTCTCTCTCTCTCTCCCTCGCTGGCTGTGTCACCAGATGTGAATTATATACCAGAGAGGAAGACAGTTCCTGGAAAAACCTCTTCCTGTCTCTGGGTTAATGCGGTTCATATCCCTGTGGAAATAAACCAAATTAGATTCACAGTTGCCTCACAAACCAGGCAGCAACCCAACTTAACAAAGTCAAGGCAGGGCTATTAACCAACGTTATAGAAACTGTTTGCTCCAAGTGATCATTTGCGCAACTCCGACTTTTAATCCTAATGCAGGTTTGAAAACCTTCCTTCCTTGTTTTCCAGACGCGGAGCAATAATAATAATAAAAATCCTTGTCACATCTTCGAGACGTCTCAAAGCGCTTCACAGGATACACTACAAAGTGGATTGACTGTGCATTTCGTGGGCGAAACGCGGCAGCCAATTGCGCACAGCAGCGTCCCCACAAACAGTCGTGGATTCAGTAAACAAATTATTATTGTTTTTTGAAGGGATTATTACCTCCCCAGAAAGCGATCGATTAATAACCGTATTAATAACTTGCCGCCGGGTAAACAGAGGCGCGTGGAGTGGGGAAATTTGCCTAAGGCTTCGCCCTGCCCGGGAATCGATACCCGGGTCCTCTCGTTGGTGATTATAGCAACTGGTAGAGATAATTCATTTATCTCCAAGTGATAATTTATTCCTAAAGCAGGTTCGGAATCCTTTTCTTCCGTGTCTCCCAGACACGGAGCAAGACACGTTGAGATCCGTGTCAAAGCCTTCCAGCCTTTTCTGCCTCCGAACCGACCTCTCCAGTTAAACCCAATACGTAACTCACATGAGACCAATTTAGAAATGAGATAGGGTGACAGTGTGCATCTGCGCTCAGTCCAGAATGAGTTGCAGTCTGAGATCATGCTCAGAGCCACGCAAGAAGCACTGAAAGCATTTGGTTTTTACTAACCTTCCTTACGAACCTCTACTGATTCACTCACCTCTCCCTCTCTCTCCCTTCTCTCTCTAGGCTTCACGTGAGTAAAAACGGTAAAAGCACTAAAACGAACCCCAGGCGATTGACACCCATGTGTTTTTCCCCAAAATATCATTGTATAATAATCCCTCAAGAAAAAGAAACGATCATAAAATCGTCTACTTCAATCCACGACTGTTTGTGGGGGTGGGGTGGGGGGGTGTTGGGGATGGGGTGGGCGGCCACCGCCGTGCGCAATTGGCTGCCGCATTTCGCCCCCACAAAACATACCGTCAATTTGCTTTGCAGTGTATCCCGTGAAGCGCTTTGAGCCGTCTCGAAGAACAGGGTGATGCGCTGTGCCAAAATGCAAGGATTATTACATGCAAAGACAAATTTAAAGAGGTGGGGAGTTCGGGTGGAAGAATTTCAATGCTTTTGCATTGCGTTATTTAAATTCTTTTGGGTGGTGGAGGGGGTGGGGGTGTGAGGGCAAGTTGTATTTTGTGTGCAGCAGCCAATACCATTTCCTTGGGGCTAGGGGGGGAAGTGAGCTAACTTGTCTACACGGTTTGGGATAGGTGATTGCCACCAGAGAAATCAACCCACTTTTTTTTTGGTTTAGTGTATGTGTTTTGCTCGCCTGTCTGATTAACTTGCCTGTGTGTGTGTGTGTGTGTGTGCGTGTGCGTGTGCGTGTCTGTCTGAGTGAGTGAGAGAGTGAGTCCTTGTTAATTCTACAGAGCTGGGTGTGTGTGATAGAGTGAGTGAGTAAGAGAAAGCGAGAGAGAATCCTTGTTAATTCTAGTGAGCTGTATCTGTGTGTGTGCGATAGAGTGAGTGAGTAAGAGACAGTGAGACCTTGTTCATTCCAGTGAGCTGTGTGTGTGTGTGTGATAGAGTGAGTGAGTAAGAGAAAGCGAGAGAGAATCCTTGTTAATTCTAGTGAGCTGTATCTGTGTGTGTGTGTGTGTTAGAGTGAGTGAGTAAGAGAAAGAGAGAGAGAAAGAGAGAGAGAGAGAGAGAGCGACCTTGTGGATTGCAGCTGGACAAGGAGCAAGAAGAACATCCAAGGCACGACTTTGCAAGTCAAGCAAGGAATCGACTGTATCGATTCAATATCGATCGATGGGTACCCTGAGCTCGGCGTCTGCGGGCAGCAGGGCTGTGGGGCTGGCCAGCCACTTGCTCTCCTCCACCAAACCCGTCTCCATCCCTTCGTTAGCGGGCGCTCCTGCCCCCGGGCTGCGGCAGCTCAGCGCAGTGACTGCATGGGGTCACCGCAAACTGTGGTCCAGCCCGAGCCCAGCCCCAGCTCCAGCCCCAGCCACAGCCCAGGAGGATCTCTCAACCCCTCTGGTCAGCCACCACCGAGCCACTCGCTCCCTGGTCTACAGGGACGTCAAGATGTTCCTCAACGAGATGGGAGGGGACCCCAGGGAGGCCAGGTACTGGCTGACGCAGTTCCAAAATGCCAGCAACAGCTGCAACAAGCTGTTCGCGGTGGTCGAGGTAAGTTTCTTCCTTTTCTTTTTTGTTTTCGCTTTGTTTCTTGCCGTATAATCCTTGCATTTGATACTGCGCCTTATCACGCCTGTAAAGTGAATTGACTGTATATTTATGTGCAAAACATTTCTCTCTTGTCTCCTCTCCCTCCCCTCCTAATACACACTTGCAAACACTCTCTCTCTCTCTCGCTCTGCACCCACTCTCTCTCCTAACACACACTTACACACTCACTCTCTCTCTGCACACACACATTCTCTCTCTCTGCACACACATATACCCTCTGTCTCTACCTCTTTCTCTCCACTCATATTCACACGCTCTCTTTCTCTGCAATTCTCTAATTATTATCAATTAATGATATTAATCCCCATAAATAATTTCAATTTGGGATTGCGCCTTATCATGTCGTCGAGATGTCTCAAAGCGCCTCACAGGATATACTGTCAAGTGGATTGATTTCATGGGCGAAACGCGAAACAATGAAAGAAACGTACACATTCTCTCCCCCCTCTCTCTCTCTCTCTCTCTCTCTGTATTTGTGTGTATTCATTCCAGCTGTTTCTGCTGAGCTCTGAACAGCACAAGTTGTGCAACGTCAGGTCAGTCTGAAATGCACGTAGATTTGTAAACAGCGGAGAGCTTAAAGTCATTCATTGGAACAAAAAAAGGGTTTCGGGTCCCGAGACTAATTTTTAGAATCTTCAGTAACTCCATGTCGAACGCAAAGCTGATTATTATTAACGGTGAGTCACGAGTTATCAGCAGTTTACTGTATTATTAATAATAATACATTATTGATACAGTCAACCACAACAATAGATTACATTTGTATAGCGTCTTTCACGTCAGGAGAACATCCCAAGATGCTGGACAGTCAGGGATCTGATGGGGGAAGGTGTTTCCTGCAAACCTCACTCTTTCAGCCCCAATGGAAGCTCATCTTTGAAATAATAACCTATGACCTTCTTGTTCCCGGTCAATAACCGAAAGTAAGATTTTTTTTATCCAATATCGTTTGCCTGGCAGCGCCACAGTTTGATTGATGATGACTGACCTGTCTGTCTGGTCAACAGGACTTGGGAGGCGAAACTTGTCCCGGAGGTTCAAGAGTCTTTCCACTTTTGATAACCTTGCCAGTTATTATTATTAATTATTATTATTGATAATAAACTTAATGCTTACCTTTGGTACAGGCAAAGGCATCGCTTTTGCCGCGTTTGGCCTACAAGATATGCAGTCAATTCACTTCACAGTATATACTGTGAAGCGCTTTGAGATGTCTCGATGACTTGATAAGGTGCTATATCAAATGCAAGGATTATTATTAACGCAGGGCCTCTCGTGTTAGGAGGACGCATGGAAGCGCTTCACAGGATATGGTGTAAAGTGGCGTGGACTGTGCATTTTGTGGGCAAACGTTCCTGACCGATAGGATGGTCCTAATTGCACAAGCAGCAGAAAGCTTACCTGGTGCCTCTGACTGCTAAGTTGGATAATTATACCTGACTCAATCACAGCAACACCCCTGCGTGAACTTTGGAGAGCTTAACAGTGTGTGTTCACTCTCTCTCCCAGCCCCCAGTTTCCACCCCCCCCCCCCCGCCCTCCCCACACCCACACACACACACACTCACGGGAGGAGAGGTTGTGCACTTCAGAACTAGAAGTTGTGCTGTGTTGTGATCGGAGGCAAGTTTGTGCAGTAGTCAGACACAAAGCTGACAAAAACAAACCTGTGTGCGCTTAGCCTGAGCGCATCCATTGGGTGGTTGCACTTTTCTGCTGCGCTTGCCTAAGAATTTCCCGGCTCCAGTCGACGCCCTCTCTTTATTATTCACGGGAACACAAGATTGGCTTTGGGATAAACGAGGCCCTTTTTTCGGCCGATGTGATCTCATCCTTCCCCAAAAACACCCTTCCCCGCCCATTCAGGTTCTCATCGCCACTATTTTCAACGCCTCAGCAGGAGTTCGATGCAATTGAAGCGCGGGTCTGTTCGCTGTGTTGCAACACGTCGCAGCGCGCGCGCAATTCGTCGTTGCTCGCGGCTGAAAAAAAAATCGACTGAACCAAACGGCGCACATGGTGAAAACGTGTGTGCCCGCCGTGTGTAAATCGTACGCAAACACAGCTGTAGTGTGCGTGACGTGTAAACGCGGAGAGGGAATTTGAGGTCACCTTAATCCGGTGCTTTTCACAACCAAAGGAAAAAAAAATAAAAGTGTCTGTAACTCACGTCATTAATATAAGGCTATTCAGTTGCACGAGTCATTGGTTTGCCCACAAAACATGCGGTCACTTTGCTTCACGAGTATATCCTGTGACGTGGTCCCATGTGAAAGGGGCTGCATCAAATGTGATAAGGCCACTTATCGCCTGTAAAAGATTGTGGGTTCGAGCCCCACGTCGGGACTTGGGATCGCATGGTTTAAGCTGAATCTCCAACGAGGTGTTGGGGGTGTGTGTGGTGGTGGAGTGGGAGTGGGGGAGGGAGGGTGGGAGGGTTGCGTTGTCGGAGGTGCCGTTCTTGGGGTGAGACATTAAACCGAGGTCCCTGTTCAGGTGGACGCTAAAGATCCCCTGGCTGTTTGCGGGGACGCTGCTGCGCGCAAACTGGTTGCCGCGTTTCGCCCACAAAATGCACAGTCAATCCACTTCACGGCATGTCGTTTCGTCCCGATGTGCGTCTTGGTCTAAGTTCATACCCGATGTGCCTAGACCTGACCAGGAGCTCTTTTAAGTTCTCGATAGGCAGGAGGTCAGAAGTGTAAACCGTTGGACCTCTTAAAATAGGGCCCTCTCTGCTCTTGGCCACGGGGTTTATTCCTCAATTTGTCCCCGGGTGTTAGGTGGACGAAGAGATATTCGGCTCGAAGGAGATGGTATCCAGTCTGGCATTCGGCCTGGCTTTCCTGCAGCGAATGGATATGAAACCTGTGGTCGTCATGGGGTTACAATATCACCATCAAGAGGCATCAGATTGCTTCACAGAAACCAGATCCTTATTGCTCAAGCACTGCAAGACTTTGACAGATGCACTGCACAGGAATTCAGCTGTCACGATGCCTTTCTTCAATGGCGGGACCTTACTGCAAGCGGAGAAGCCTTCAACCCCCAACAGGTACAATAATAAATATTAGAATAAACTCAGAGTTTTAGCCCTGAAGAGGCAGGAGGTATAAATCGTAGTGCTTGTGTGTGGGTAAAAAGAAATATATAGTTGATAAGGACAATGAATATCGTTCCAGAAAGAGAAAGGAGTTTCTCTCTCCTCGTGTTCCAGCCGATTAAAAAAAAAATGATTGGTCGTTCACTGCATGGCTTGTTTGTGGGACGTTTTAGCTTGACATCTCACCTAAAAGATGTCACCTTACGATTCAGCACTCAACCAGCCCCTGCCCCCCCCCACCCACTCCACCTACACACAAGCACTGTACCCTGAGCTCAAAGTGCTAACGTGTGACTTGAACCCACATATCTTCCGACTACAAAGAGCGAGTGCTTAACAACCGAGCCAGGCTGATACCAATCAGGCCGTAACAGAGCTAAGGCCATCGGTTGATGTTTTGACTGTACAGTAAACGTAGATACAATACATATGTATAGGGCCTTTCACACTGGTAGGGTGTCCCAAGGCGCTGTGAGAGTCCCAAGAGAGATGACAATGACTGTGGCTCTTTCGCCCTGCAGTTTTGGCAGCATGGTTTCAGTGGATGAAAATCTATTGACGTGGTGCCTGGATTCCGGTCACATCCCCATCGTCTGTTCAGTGGGCGAGACCCCCGATGGGCAGCTGGTAATGCTGGACCCCTTGGTCGTCACCTCCTCCATTGCCAAAGCCATGCAACCTCTCAAAGTCATGTTCCTCAACAATTCCGGGGGGATTCAGGACAACGATAAGGTGAGTCCAAACGTCTGGTGTCCATCTCGTGTTGCGTGCAAGCTCTCAAGCGGTATCTCTCACGCGTTCAGTTTTTTGGGGATCGTGTTTACGGTCACCTCCCCCACCTCCCTCTCCCCCTGGCTCGGGGGGTCAGACCCTTAAGAGCTCCGGTACGCTACCCCGCGTGAAGGGAGCTGTATTGCTGCTGCTGTTATTGCCGATGGCATTGTTGGAAATATTAACAAGGTGGCATTGCTGTCGTTTGAGCAGCGGAAAGGGAATTGTCTGACTCAGGAACAAGCAGGGAGTCTGCCGCTGTACACATAATGGAATTAGGAAGCTTGTCAACATTGGCGGGAGGGTGTGTGTGTGTGTGTGTGTGTGTGGTCAGTGGGGGAGGAGAGTGGGGGGTAAGGTTTGTAAAACGCCTTTGGGAATGAATAGCTGCCGATATTTTGGCACACATCTCATCCAGAAAGTAAACTTCGAGAGCGCATTCATCCCCGACAGATATTACTTCACACAGAGATTTGTACCAGCATTTGCGGTTCCTTTGTGTAACTGAACCGCGATCAGGCACATGAGTGCCACTGAACAATACCGAAAGCTTCCGCATGGTTTGTGCTGGAGCTGAGCGATTTGGAAGCTTGGTGGGATCGGGTGGGGGGCATTGCATTTTATTAGAACAATTGGTTCCCTTTAACCTTCGGCACCCACGCCTGGAATCGGATTACCATTGGTCCCGTACCAAAATAAGAGCACATTGTAAGAGGATCATTCCATTCCATTGGAATCCATTCTGCCATTGAAATTCCTGACGGCTATTCACCCTAGCGCTGCGGAATGAGCTGAGCTGAGCTTTTCCATCTCACATACGCCTGTCGTTGAATAGAATTGCAAATAATCACACAGGATCTATTGCGCCCAAACAGGCCTGGTATTTTTACTCCACTCCCCACCCCTTCCTAATCTCCCTCATTCCCTTCCCGCTCATTACCAGAGGAGAAAGTGTGGAGTGGAGGGGGGGGGGAAATGATTTTAATATAAAAACGTTTTGCCTACAAAATATACAGTCTTTCCACTTTACAGCGTATTCTGCGAAGCGTTTTAAGATTCTCGAAGATGTGAAAGGTGCTATATCAAATGCAAGGATTATTATTATTATAAAGCATGGCCTTTCTCCTCCTTCCCCTGCCCACACCCAACAAAAAAAACCTTAAAAGAAACCTAAGGCTTGAAAAAAAAACCTTAAAAGAAACCTTAAAAGAAACAGGCTCAACATAATTCCATGGATATTTGGAATACCAGAGAGCTTGGATTACACCAGGGCCACGAGTGGCTATCCCTTGGTGTTTCATAGATATAAAGACACCTCCCTTTGGGAATCGTCCCCCCCCCGCCACCCCCCCAGTCCACACACTATGCCCAGTTGGAGAGCCTGTGCTGTGGCTGTCCTGGGTTAGGCAGGAAGACCTCATTGTAACTGTTTTTCAGTTTCGTCCTTATCAACCCGCTGCGTCAAGTGCCGATGGGCGTTTTCAACATCAGACCTCCAGCCTTGGTTCCTGCAATGGAGGGAGCCCCGAGGTAAGTTGGCGGAGTTGATTTTTGACAGCCACCCGCCCACCAGGAGATACCAGGGGCACCCCTCGCCCCCAGCCAACCATCCCCCACCACCCCCTCCCTAAATTCCTGAAGGTCTATTAGTTACATGGACGTCACTCACACTGTGGGCCTGAGAACCACACGGACTTTGGTGTAAGTTTGGTTTTGTATTGTCAGGGAACATGGTCAATCAACATCGAAAGAACTTTCCATAGCAAGAGCTTCGAGAGCAAACCCTGAGCTGTCATTCTTAATGGGTCACATATGGAGCTGAGGATCTAGTATTCTTTGGAATTGGTTATAATAATAATAATCCTTGCAATTGATATAGCGCCTTATCATGTCGTTGAGATGTCTCAAAGCGCATCACAGAATGTCAGCCTTTGACACAATCACACATTGGTTAGTCCGTGATTCCAAAATTTTAAGCAGAAGTGCAAGGGGAAAAAAGTCCGATCTTTGGGAGTCGTTCTCCCAAAGGACTGGGGAAAAGCAGGCTCCCGAATTGACAGCGTGTTTCAGAATCATTCCACGATGAGTTTAATTGAAGCGCTTTGAGACATCTCAACCGCATGATAAGGCGCTGTACCAAACGTGAGGATTATTTTAATATTTTCCGAGTGATCGATAAGCTTGTTCATTGTTCGCTGCAGGTTCTTGGCCAAGTCAACCTCCCAGCTGATCTGGACCTTCTATCGAACGTGAACTGGGTCAGTCACAAAGAGGAACAGAAAGCGAGAGTGATTACAGATCTCCTGAACTACATGCCATCGGAATCCTCAGCCGTCATCACTTCCGCCAACACCATACTCGCCGAACTCTTCAGCCATCAAGGTACCATTTCTATACACCAAACCATTTTAGCCTAAAAACAATCCTGCGAGGATTGAGACCTGACAAGGTGCTACATTAAATGTGAGTATTATTATTCTAATTTATGGATTGTGCTTTCCTCGCAAGCTCAGGTGACCGATATTCTGTCCTGGGAATAATAGCCTGATATTTGAAATGCCATGGATTTCGCCCCAATGTTTTCAAATTGATCGCTGCGCAATAACCATATGATATCCTAGTTACGAAACACGACAGACCGATCGCTGCTGCACTTAGAAGACTTAGCTTTACCTTCCCGGGGGATGTGATGACACGTCACCGTGCTAACCACATATATTTCCTTTTTCTCTGTTTGGGTACAGGAGCAGGAACGCTGTTCAAAAGTGCCGAACCCATTCGCAAATACACAAGCCTCGTGGATATTGACACAGCCCGTCTGGTCTCACTAATAAACAAGTCCTTTGAGAAGCAACTGCGCGAGGATTACTTTAAAAGAATGGAACCCAAGCTACAAGCTATATATCTGTCCGAAGGGTAAGGAACCTCCTTTCAGTTTTGCTGCAACTAAAAATAAATGTTAGGTAACACAGCAAAGCTCTTGGAAAAGATAATGTTGATTAGCAAGCAGGGTGCAAGGAAGGGATTAAAAGACACATTGATCAAAGACACAGGTTTCTAAGAGGTTGAAAGACTCACTTGCTGAACCACTGGATGTTAGCAAGGTTTCCTGTCTCCTCGCATTCGGAATGGTTGATCTTTCATCCCTGTTGGTCTCAATCTTTCCAATACCGCACCTGCCATCTGCCCATCACGGCTTCAAGCTCTTACTTGCATAAGACCAGCCTCCTGACCTCAAGTCACCCTTCCTAATAACCTGTTCCAGCTCTTGATTACCCTCGGCGTAAAGAAATATTTCCAGATATCCACCTTACATAAGACGTTTCGCCCCAAAAATGTAGTCAATTCATTTGACAGTATATTCTGTGAAATGCTTTGAGACGTCTCGAAGACTTGATAAGGCGTTGGATCAAATGCAGGGATTATTATTATTCTCTTATAGTTGCCCTTGCTCTATCCACAAACTTCTACCCAGCCGCCCTGACCTATCTGAAAGTATAAATAATAATCCTTGCATTTGATATAGCGCCTTATCACGTCTTTGAATCGTATATTGTAGTGGGTTTACTTTCTTAATCCCATTGAGCACCTTAGGCAAGGATCTCCCTACTGTTTGTCCCCAGGTACAGTGCTGCTGCAATTATCACCATGGAATCTGCCTTGAACGGGTTGCCCTACCTGGACAAATTTGTCGTCAGTACAAGCAAGAGAGGGCAGGGAGCCAGTCAGATGCTGTGGGAGTGCATTCGGCAGGATTACGACTTGCTCTTCTGGAGGTCGAGAGTTACAAACAGGATCAATCCTTGGTAATAATCTCGTTGCTGCTCAACTTTGTTCTTGTTCAATTTCCACTCCCTCCCCGCCCTTCTCCATGGATTCATTGATTGATTCAAGTGTGCGTCGATTCATCCACACGCCATTCAGAGATGCGTAGGGCTGTAAAGAGAGTTGTGGAGCAGGCAGATAGATGGTAGGTGGATGGTGGAGATAGGCCTTGGTTGTAATGATCTTCATGGTCAAGTACTTGGCCACCATTGATAGTCGTCCTCATCAGCCACTACACCCCGAAACTCTGGGGCTCTCTCTCTCAATCCCTCATCCGCCTTGCCCCCCCACTCCCCCACCTTCAAATCCCACCTAAAGACCTTCCTTTTTTTGATCGTGCTTACGGTCATCTCCCCCCCACCCCTCCCTCTCCCCCTGGCTCGGGGTCAGACTCCGCCACTGTGAAGCGCTCCGGGCGAAGGGCGCTGTGCAAATACAAATTGTTGTTGTAGTTGGTGTTGGTCTCTTCGATGCCATTTTTCTTTTCTTTCTCGCTGTCTTATCTCTCTCTCTTCCCCCACCCCCCACTCTCTCTCTCTCTCACGCAGGTACTTCAAGCAGTGCGATGGGAGCTTCGCAAACGGACGGTGGATCGTGTTCTGGTACGGCCTGTCCGATCTCAGGGACTCGTACAAGTTGGTGGACTACGCGGACAGCCTGCCCGATTCTTTCATCCCACCGAAAGAGCCCGTGAACCGGGAACTCACCGTTTCTCACCCCTAAGATCTTGTCCCCCGACTCAAATGTTTTTCTCGGGTTAGTTTTGTCCCTTTCCACGTCTCTCCGGTTTGAAAGGAGGCGCTTCAGTGTCAAATCAAAATGCTGTCTGATAAAACGTCGGACATTCCCAGGTTTGTTTCAGTAACCCGGTTTCCTTACTTCTCCCTTACCCGACGCCCAGTTCCAGAGTCCTGAAGGGAATTATTGGTGACGTCAAATTCTTGCGGTTGCAGAAGAGGAAAGAATCGAGCTGAATTTCTGCAGCAAATTGAAAGCAAAGGGAGCGATGGCTCCCAAAGCAATTGTAGTCGACGAGATTGTGTGTGTTTCACAGGACACCAGTTATTTTGATCCGCTGAAGGGAATGAGACCAAAGGGACGTGATATGACTAAGCTGACTAGTGAAAAGGAGGAGTGGATTTATAACTGAAATAAATAATGACGAGGCGGCAAGGGGCTGTTGTGGTCTTGTAGATTCCTGTGTTCTTGGCATTACGATGAGAACACAGTGACATTTCTACCAAACTTCTGAAGAATTCTCACTCAGCCGGAGGGAGGTAGCGGAGGACTCCACTTACCTCCAGTTTCTGTTCATTCTGCAGAAGATTGTACGCATCCAATCGACCAGGAATAAAATATTCGTAAAGCCCTCTCGCAACTCTTCTTGCGAGTACCCTCAGGAGCTGACTGATATCCTGGGAAAGGGCTGGGAGCTCCAGAGGAGATCTCAAAAGCCATTGAGGTAGAATTGTGAGAATGAGGAATGGGTTCTCAAAATATACCAAATCACTTGAGGTGACGTAGAGGGAAATAGATCAGGATTTGGGAAGTAACGGTATTGAGGGATTTGGAGAAAAGGCGGAGAGATGAGATGAGAACGATAACAAAATTTCCATTTGCGAAATGTTCCAAAGGAATTGGTGCTGAATGGAGTTGTAGGAAGTAACCTACGACAACAACTTGCATTTATATAGCGCCCTTCATGTGGGGTAGAGTCCTGGAGCGCTTCCCAGTGGCGGAGTCTGACAAGTAGCCAATAACCACTTGGTCTTACTGTTTCTGGGCATCTTTCAGGAAATACAATGGCAGGGAGATACGAGATTTTGGGATTAACCTTATCCAAAATAGTTAGACCAATAACTTGTCTTAAATCTAAATTGTAAAGTGATTGATAAGACTTTAGCTACTAGGTTAAGACCATACGTGGATAATGCCTTTATAGCTAAGGAAGCTGAGCCCATCCACGACCAGATTGATATGGGGTCGGACACCTGAGCAATGAGGAGAAAGTTGAGATGTTTACAAAGGCACTGTATCCCAGATCCCTGCAGATCCAGATAAGCTGCGCTTAAACATGACATCTCTCTTATAATGAAAATGTCTGCGTTGCTATTTGGAGTGTTGTTGGACTACTCACAATGCTTTTCACTTCTCACCTTAACGCAACCTATTATCTAAAACATTTGTGTGCTCTCTGCTGACTAGTGACCTTCAGTCCAGTCCCGCACAAGTTGTGAGATCTACAGTTGTGAACTTTAGGCACAAGTTACGACTGATCTGGGTCCAAAGCCGATACAAAAAGGCACAGGTTACAAGCGACCTTGTGTTGTGTATTTAAAAAAAAAGCAAACATTCCTGGAAATCAAGCACAGCTTAATCTGAATATCGGTTTGGATCGAGGTTCTGGAGTCAGACGTCGCCGAAAGAAATGAGCCTTTGTTTGCCCGTTATAACTAAGGTTACTATTTTTTTTAAAAAAAGCATTCGCAATACAGTAATGTAAACTGGATTTATTTAATTATTGAAATAATTTAAAGCCTTATTCAATTCTGAAAGTGCCTGACAATTTGAAGCGAATACCAGCTTTGTATCAGCGCCTTGGGACGTCCTCCCGACGTGAAAGACGCTATACAAATGTAATCTTGTTGTTGTTGTTGTGTTAAGATGGCGAGAGTTCACAACTGGGCTTGGATCAGTTTACTAAAAAAAAAGCCCCCGGGTCCAGTCTTGTACATAAATTTAAATACGGTCAGTTTTAAGGACTGTGGTGAAGAGAATCTGTGTCGTAAAGCTACAGTAAGAATGATTTTGGCGTGCAAAAAAAAACAATCAAATAAAGGATTGCGTGGTTGCATTGCTCTTGTTCGCTTTGTCATTGATTCCATAAAATAGGTTGCTTAAAGATTTCGCAAATATATAAAGCTAAATTCCACCCCCATCTTAACCACGTAGTTATACCAATAAATGTCCTTGCACCACCAAAAGAAAAGTCGCAAAGCCTCACGTGGAAATGCTGTCAAGTGGAGTAACTGCACTTGTAAGGAGATGTGACGGACATTATTTTGCACACAGCAATGTCTTAGAAACAGCCAAGAGGTGAATGACCAAATAGTTAGAGGATTGTCGGCCAGAACACTGGGAGGAACTTCATTCTTTTTCTAAACAGTGTCATAGGATCTTTGCAATTTATCTCATGCCTTTTGCATAGGGTTAGAGTCTCTGAGCGCTGGAAAAAGATTATAAGAAGCACTCGTTAAATTCGAGTGTTAACTGCAAATGAAAGGTACCTGTATTCTCACTGTGAAGTCACAACTGTCACGTTTTGGAGCTTGATTGAGGACGGGAGAAAGTCTTACAGGAGTTAAAAGACAAAAAAGATTTCACTGTGAAACCGAAAAGCAGCGGAGAGCAAAAAGACCATCGTTTTCAACCAAATGTGTTTCGGAGCCTTTTAATGACAAGTATCAAGTCAGCACATCGTAAAATTGCATATACTGTGCTTCCTTGACTCTGTAAACCTTTCCGCAGTTAAAACCATGCTTTAATAATGTTCAGATACATCGTAAAATGGGTCGACTTCACACACTGAAAAAGTCTGAAGAAGTCATGTACAAAAAAACCGCAGTTCTCATGTACCATAGTAAATTATTTCAAGTTTACAGCAGGTTTCCTCACCCAAGCAAGATCGCACTAGGGCGTGTTTCTCTACAATAGTCATATTCTCTCATCAAAGATCAGATCCATTGATCTGAAGAGGGGCATTAACTTATAATAATAATCCTTGCCTTTGACATATCACATTGTCGATACATCTCAAAGGGCTTCACTTTATTGCAAAGCGAATTGACTATTTTTGTGGGCGAAACACGGCAGCCAATTGCACACAGCGGCATCCCATAAACAGCCGTGGATTGAGTGACCCAAATTCGTTTTTTTTTTGGAGGGATTATTACCCCCGGAAAGAAATCCGCCAAACGACTAACAACCGGTTTCCTACTTACTGCTGTGGAATAAGGAAACTCGTCTCAGGTAAAGGAGGCCACCCTGGGGCAATGTGACAAGCGGTGTAATTTCACAAGCAAAGATCGTGAACCCACAAAAAAAAAATCAGACTACCCAAAATGTTTTTGGAATCATTCGGCCAGATGGTCACACAAAATCATTACACAGCTGTCCATTTCATGAAAATAGCCTTTCCAAGGAAATGCTGTTGGCTGATCTGGTTCCTATGGAGTAAGGAAACTTGTCCAACGTTTCGCCCTGCCAGGGAATCAAACCCAGGTCTCTCACTTTCGAGGCGAGTGCTCTAACCACTGAGTTACAGGGCTCCAGATATAAGCAGTTGCTGAAAGAATTCGGACGTACAGAACTTTTACAGTAATGAACCACTTTAAACAGTGCAGAATTGCCAGATCAAGTCAATTGTTACAGTGTGATCTGATCGTACGTACAGAAAAGAGCCCATGAGAGATTGGTGTGAAAGACTTCGTCTCGCAACGTGAGCCAACCATCAGAATCCGTCCTGAATAAACTCGGCTCCTTTTAAAACGTTGGTCGGGTTGATATTAAAAGTGTACGATTTGCAGAACAAGGCGCACGCCAACACACACACACCAACTTTTTGTAAGCACCGGGGTTAAATTTTAAACCAAAATTTTTCCACCACTCGTCAAATCTTTCCTCAGTGTGTGCAGTCAGAGAAAAGTCAACATACTTTTAGATAGAGTCCTTGACACATTTAATTGAAGAGGTGAGGTGGGGGGGGGGGCGAGAGAGGGGGAGAGGAAATATACTGACATATCCAATTGTGAAATGCTTTGACGTTTTTCGTCGAGGTCTATCTAGCAAGGTCATCTGAAGGAACATAGGTGGACACAAAGCACATACAGTAGTTGTTGGCTTGAGATCCGGATGGCAAGTATATTGGTTACCAAAACCAGAAAAAAGCACCATCTCCTCAATAAAAGATCAGTGAATAAGACAGACACACAAATTAAACCACGTTATTTTTGACAATCCCATGGAGCAAAACAGCAAACTCGGGACATGAATTAGAAGCTAATAACAATACAATAATTCTTGCATTTGATATAGCACTTTAGCCATTGGCTCCCTATCCTTCAGAGGATCCAGTTCAAGATCCTGATCCTCACCTACAAAGCCCTCCATGGCCTCGCCCCCACTTTACCTCTTCGACCTCCTAACCCCCTACCAACCCGCCCTAAGCCTCTCTGCCCCCAACCTCTGGAATTCCATCCCAGTCACTCCGCCTCGCCCCCTCCTTAGCCTCCTTCAAGTCCCGCCTCAAGACCTCCCTCTTTGACCGTGCCATCAGCCATCCCCTTTTCCTTCCCCTCCCTTACCCCCCACCCCAACCCCAGCTCAGGTCTGAAATGCTGTACTCTGTCCAGCGCCTTGGGACGTCCTCCCGACGTGAAAGGCGCTATACAAATGTAATCTTGTTGTTGTTGTTCTTATCAAGTCCTCAAGCCGTCCCAAAGTGCTTCACAGGATATACAGTACTGCAAAGTGCAGTGACTGTATATTTTGTGGGCGAAACCCGGCAGCTAATTGAGAAGGGGAGAGAGAGAGAGAAAGAGAGAGAGAGAAGGAATGAGGAATAGAAGTAAAGGAAGATAAGCCAAGGTATCTCAGATTTTCTGAAAAGAGAACTAGGGTGGCGAGACGGCAGTTTTCAAATCCATTCCATATTTTGATTTGAACTGGAAAGCGATGCAAAGGTCCCACGCTGCGTCGAGGAGTAATTCACGTTTACAGAGTGATAGCTCAAGATTTTCCATTGCTGGAAAGAGTTTGCCTACGTATTCACTATAGCCTTGAGAGACATGCACTCCGCTTGAAATTAATACACCATTAATTTAATTTATTATTGTATTATTAATAATATAATAATAATGCAATAATTAATAATATAATATATTATATCTCTATTGAAGATTAATTATCTGTTAAGGAATTCAGGGGGAAAGTTCCATTCTATTGCTTGGTGCGAAAAAATAATCAATCACAGCTTCGGGTTTTGCTAAATAATGCAATGAAAAAGGAAGTCGAGGGTGGGGAGGAGAATGGATTTTTGTATAAAGTGTTCTCCAGCCTGAAGGAAAAGAACATTTTTCCGCGCACGAGGAGATATTAAATCTCGTCAGTCACTTTTCCCCTCCCGTTGAGGATTGCGGTTGGCAGATTGCCTGCGGTTGCTAAAAGCCACTCCGACTGCACAGGCCAACAGGTCACCGGTGAGGAAGGAAACAAGATAGTTTGAAGAAGTTTTGCTATTTCCTTTGAGGATTTTTTTCCTTCTCCCATACGCAAGGACACAAGAGCCACTCGGTGATGCAATGCTCATTTTCCAATCCAGTTTCCACACTCAAGCCTAAAGCAACATTTGTTTGCAAAAAAACAATACAATAATAATAATCCTGGCATTTGATACAGCGCCTCATCACGTCTTCGAGACGTCTCAAAGCGCTTCACAGAATATACTGTAAAGTGAATTGACTGTATAGTTTGTGGGCAAAACGCGGCAGTCAGAGAAATAGGAAATGGTGAATCTCCCTAAGTATCCAGGAGTTTTAAATGGCGATTTCACTGCACTGAGATGCCACTGCACCCACTGTTTAATTGTTATCAGTAAACAGATGGTGCTGCTCAAACAAGACTGCCCGATGCCTTGCAACACAAATCAACAGCGTCGATGTTGATCAGGACTCACACACGCCCATTTCCCCCCCCCCCCCCCACAGCCCCCTCGTGTAAAAACTCTCCTCATGGAAATTACACTCCAACTCAATGTCAATCTAGGACAACCACACAGCCACATCCTTGGTCAAACATTAATATTGTTCATCTCAGGTTACAGTGCAATCTGGTCACCATCCACAAACAGAGAGAGAAGCAGAATACCTGAGGCATTTCAAAGTTTATGGACGGACATACAGTGCAGCTTTTTGTTGCTGTTAAAGAGGTCAAGTGCTTGCCATTTTGGAATCATGGATTAACAAGGCTGCTTGTAGTTTTACCAATGCAATACAGAATTCTCTTTATTTTATTTTTTTTTTACAAATTATCCAGGCAAATCCTTGCATTTACTAGCAAAAATACAACTCTATATAATTCTGTACAGCAATCCTTCAGGACTTGAGGATAGGACTACTTCGCTCTGAATCCTATTCTCTGCAGAGCCCTGTGTTTACAATTTCCTCAGTCAGGACTCTGTTTTGACACTATTTCTGTATGCAATTGGTTCACGTTTTGATTCATCCCAAGCTGTTTTTTTTTTTGCTTGAAATCTCGAGAGATTTTCGAAGGGAGCGAGCACACAATCGTTTCAGAAGGTCACATTAAGATCAACGACAAAGGCTCACACATTCCAAGGGCATTTGCCCATCATATTACCTGGTCTTAAATAATCCTCGCATTCGATACAGCACCTACACAGTTCGGAGAACACCTCAAAGCACTTCATAGGATATAACATAACGTATAGCATTTTGTAGGTGAAAGTAATCAGAGATATAAAGGGCTCTGGAAAACATTTTTATGGTGAAAATAAATGGACGGTTAAATAAAAACAAACCTACCTGAGACACTTAAGAGAGGCAGTACTGATCTTTCATGGGGCCAAAGGGAATTATCGTGCATTTTGACGATGCGTGCTTCAAATGCGACATTTTCAACACCTGCATTCATTATAAAAATACACTAAATATACCGTTAAGCATAGAATCACGCAGCTAGGTAGTGTCTTAACCCTTAAGAGTCTTTTTATATATAAAAAAACGTACAGCAACTGGTAGAATTGACCTGAATTGTACAAATAATAACGAGCAAAAAAAAAAAAGCAAAGTGTTGCACAAACCAGCACATCCCTAGACAAGCAACCCTACGAGTCACGCAGCATCGCAAGTGAACGGGTTTCCGAGGACGTCTCAGACGCCTTTTAACGCGCTGTCCACGGTCGGTGACACGGTGAAGGGCTCCTGCAAAGCAACGTAAGTAAATAGATAGCAGTGCGAGGCGGTGGTTTCGTTTGTGCCGTGGCTTCCCAAGAACACTCTGCCTTTTGGAAAACCATCAGGCGTCAGTGGCCAAGATGATGGCGGCACCAAAGATGCCCACGTTCTGCCCCAGCAACTTCATTTGGTTCCAGAACTCTATCCGCCGGGAGTGATGCCAGTAGCCCACGTTGCCGTCGATGAAAAGTACAACCACTGGCAAGAGGACGGAGAGGATCTGGGCTGCGGACTTCACGCAATAGCCAGAGAGGAACGCTAAGGCTAGCACTGCGTACAGTACGAACAGGAGCTGCAGTGTAATTTCGCCTCCCAGAATATGGTTCAAATAGGCCATGCGGTCCTCTTTGCTGTGCTGCAGGGAGTAGGCCTGTGGAGATCGAGAGGGCGGAGGTAAATGTTCACTCGTTTATAAGATATAATCGTCTCAAGCCAATACAAGGACGGTGCAAGCAGCAAACCCAGCTGTTCAAAACATCTCCGTCCAAAGTCCCTGACGCCTATTTTGATAAAGCCAGCGCTGAGTTTCCAGTTAATCTAAACAGGCCTGAAAGGTCTCAGGTGTTGATTCCCTGAACAACAACAACTTGCGTTATATCGTGCCCGTCACTTAGGGTATCGTTCCGGAGCACTTGGTTAGGATTAGAACAAGGTTGCCTGAACTCAGCCGAGGTAAAGCAATTATCCTCAACACTCTGAGGAAAGCGTGTGTGCGTGTGTGTGTGCGCGTGTGTGTGCGCGCACGAGTGTGGTGGGGGGACATAGGAACATAGCTCGGACTCCCCCATGCACCCACCCCCATCACTATCACAAGCCTTCTTCACTTCCCGATGGAAGGAGCACGAGTGAAAGTGAGGAGAAGGTGGGAGAAAGAGCTGAAGAGAGGGGAATGACAACACAAGGTCCCATTATGTGCTGACGGGCAATCAGTGAAACCAACCTCAGCGTCTACACTCCCCCACAGCTTCCGTCAGCGAGTTCCAGGTTCCCTTACTCTTACTACCCTCCTAAACTCCTTTTTAGTCCTGCTATTGGCTGGATTATATTCTTTTTTTGGGGTCGGGGGTGGGGACGAGTACAAATATAAGTGATGGAGAGCAGCATGCTTATCTACAGTAATCTGTAGAGTGTCTAAAACGGCCAGTCACTCACCACACATATAAGGTAGATGCCGATAAACACTTGTCCCGTCGACTGTAGTGACCTCGTGCGTGGCTTCTGTCGGTAAACTTCACCCGAACCGCTCGCTAAGATGAGAAATCCTCCAATAATGGCTATAGTCCTCGAGTACATTCTTACCTGTGGGATTGTTTTTTTTTAAAAAAACAAAAATGTTCATTGCAACTTTTATGATGAAATATTTCTTACAGAGGCAGAAAATATTTTGATTTGCCATTTAGTCTCATCCAGTAACGATAATAACAACAATCTTTGCATCTGATATTAGGCTTTTCATATCGGGCGGATGTGAAGCTCTCCACAGGAGTCACAGCACAGGTCCGTCCTCTTCTAACATCAGAATTCGTTCCACAAATTAACAATCAGAACTGCACCAACATCAAGTGTATAATCAGTTACGACACCGCAAAACTCTGGAACGCTCTCCCTCTATCCCTCCACCTTGCCCCTCCCTTCTCCATTTTCAGGTCGCGCCTGAAGATCTTCCTATTCGACCAGCGCTTACAGTCGCCTGCCCCTCCCCACCCCCATCACTGTCAAGCGCTACCCTGCGTGGGGGGGGGGGGGGGAGTGGGGGGGTGGGGGTGTGTGGGGGGTGCGCTGTGAAAATGCAAGTCGCTGCTACGACGAACGATTGAGACGTCAGAAAGAACTTTGTTCCGCATCCGTTTCTCGCTGAGAGCAAATCCAAAGACTTCACAGCATTCACTGCCAAATGCCGTACGGCGTCGAAACAGGCCGTCCGCCCAACTCGTCCGCGCCATTGTTTATACCCCACGTGAGCCGCCCCCATCCATTCGAATCCGCCCGCCCTTGCTCGCTTGACCCCCCCCAATCCCCGAAGCGTAGTGACTGGGTCTTTTTTTCACAGGCACCGCAAGGGTAGAGAAACCTCGCTTGAGCCTTACCTTGAGCCAGTCCCCGTAATGCACCTGCTCTCCAATGTAACACGCATAGGTGCTGACGGCCAACTGGACAGCGGCTCCCAGAGCGAACCACCTCCTTTTCACTCCGAAGGACATGAAACTGGCACAGATCACGGCTGCGGCCATATCAAAGTAGAGGTAAGGCACCGGGATATCCGGCTTCCTGAAGGCAAAGCGTGTGTCACCCGCGAGCCGTGGAAGACCGGAGAGCCGCACACCCGGGACACATCTCGAAAACAATGAATCCGTGGGCGAGGGGTGTGTGTGTGTGTGTGTGTGTGTGAGTGAGTGGATGGTGGATGGGGTGGGGGGGGGGGGGTGTTAGTGTGTGGTGTGTGTCAGTGGGGGGGGGGGGCTGTGTGTGGGGGCGATGTCAGTGTGTGTGATGGGGGATGTCAGTGTGTGGGGGAGGGGGGAGATATCAGTGTGTGTGTGGGGGGGTGTCAGTGTGTGTGTGGGGGGTGTGTCAGTGTGTGTGTGTGGGGGGGGTGTCAGTGTGTGTGGGGGGGTGTCAGTGTGTGTGTGTGGGGGGGTGTCAGTATGTGTGTGTGGGGGGGGGTGTCAGTGTGTGTGTGGGGGGTGTCAGTGTGTGTGTATGTGTGTGTGGGGGGGGTGTCAGTGTGTGTGGGGGGTGTCAGTGTGTGTGTGGGGGGTCAGTGTGTGTGGGGGGGGTGTCAGTATGTGTGTGTGGGGGGGTGTCAGTGTGTGTGTGGGGGTGTCAGTGTGTGTGTGGGGGTGTCAGTGTGTGTGGGGGGGGTGTGTGTGTGGGGGGGGGTGTCAGTGTGTGTGGGGGGGTGTCAGTGTGTGTGTGGGGGGGTGTCAGTATGTGTGTGGGGGTGTCAGTATGTGTGTGTGGGGGTGTATGTGTGTGGGGGGGGGGTCAGTGTGTGTGTGGGGGTGTCAGTGTGTGTGTGGGGGTGTGTGTGTGTGGGGGGGTGTGTGTGTGTGGGGGGGTGTCAGTGTGTGTGTGGTAAGGAGAGGGGGAGTTGGGGGGAGGGGAGGGCAGTTGGGGGGGGTGTGGGGGGGTTGTCAGTGTGTGTGTGTGGGGGAGTGTGGGGGTGTGTGTGGGTGTGTGTGTATGGGTGTGTGTGTGTGTGTGGGGGGGGTGTTGGGGGGTGTGTGTGTGTGGGTGTGTGTCTGTGTGTGTGGGGGTGTGTGGGTGTGTGTGTCAGTGTGTGTGTGTGTGTGGGTGTGTGTGTGTGTGGGGGGGGGGTGTCAGTGTGTGTGTGTGTGTGTGGGTGTGTGTGGGGGTGTGTGGGGGGTGTGTGGGGGGGGTGTTGGGGGGAGTTGGGGGAGGGGTGTGGGGGGGTGTCAGTGTGTGTGTGTGTGTCAGTGTGTGGGGAGGGGTGGGGGGGGAGTTGGGGGGTGTGGGGGGGTGTGGGGAGGGGGTGTGTGTGTGTCAGTGTGTGTGTGTGGGGGGATGTGTGGGGGTGTGTGTGTGTGTGTGTGTGTGTCAGTGTGTGTGGGTGTGTGTGTGTGTGGGGGGTGTGGGGGAGGGGTGTGGGGGGGTGTGGGGGGTTGTCAGTGTGTGTGTGGGGGGGTGTGTGGGGGGGGTGTGTGTCTGTGTGTGTGGGGGTGTGTGTGTGTGTGGGGGGGGGTGTTGGGGGGTGTGTGTGTGGGTGTGTGTCTGTGTGTGTGTGTGTGGGTGTGTGTGTGGGGGGGCGGGTGTTGGGGGGTGTGGGGGAGGGGGTGTGTTGGGGGGTGTGGGGGAGGGGGTGTGGGGGAGGGGGTGTGGGGGAGGGGGTGTGGGTGTGTGTCAGTGTGTGTGTGTGTGGGGGGTGTGGGGGGTGTTGGGGGGGTGTGGGGGAGGGGGTGAATCTCTCACCTGCGGTGCTCGGCGCGGTCGGCGAACAGCATTAACATACTGAAGCAGTTCCAGAAGGGGAAGCGGGTGAGGATGATGGCGCCGAAGCGCATGAGGAGTTTATAGAGCCGTCTCCGGGACTCCATCACCGCGCCCTCCCCCTCCCTCCCGCCCTCCCGCCGCCACACCAGTCCGGCCGGAACCCCGGGGCCCCGCACTTCGGTTCCTACCCCTTCTGCTCTGCTGCCCAACCTCCCCACAGTCACTCCGCCCACCCACTGGGGGCAATCTTCCCCGGGGGTGGGGCTGGGGGGGGGGAGGGGGAGTGGGGGAGGGGGAGAGGGGGAGAAATGACACCTTGGGGGTCTCGTTGTCCCGGTTTCGCCCGCAAAACCGCGCGGTCGCTACGCGGGGAGGGTCCGGTCCGGTCCCGCGAAGCGCTCCGAGACGTCTCGTAGAGGCGATCGGGGGCTGCGGCAAAAAATACCACCACCACCACCACGATGATGATGATGATGATGATAATAATCCTCGCATTTGATATAGCGCTTTTCACGTCGGGAGGACGTCCCAAAGCGCTTCACAGAACACACTGTAAAGTGAAGTGACTGTATATTTGTGGGCGAACGCGGCAGCCAATTGCGCACAGCAATGTCCCACAAACAGTCGTAGATTGAAAATGACCAATTTATTATTGTTTTTGGTTTTGGAGGGACTATTATTAGGCTCTGTGTGGAGTAAGGAAACTTGCCCAAGGTTTCGCCCTCTGCCTGGAATTGAACTCAGGTCTCTCACTTGCAAAGCGAGTGCTCTAACCACTGAGCTACAGGACTCCATGATGATGATGATGATTATTATTATTATTTCTACTCTACTTTCCTAGCATTTCTGCCCTAATCCCGCCCGAATTCGACACCGTTTCGCAAGTCACACTTCCAGAAAAAAAAACGCATTTTTTCACCGCCGGTTTGACCCTTCGCGTTTTCTTTCGAAATAAACGGCAAATTTTTTTTTAAAAAAAAGTTTTGGGGGTAATTGTTGTTGTCGTCGGTGCAGTTTTGTTTTTTGTTTTTTTTTCCCCTTGCGCCCGCGGGTGTACGTATTTGCAAAGGCGTCGCGGGTGACTTTGTAGGCAGTCGATTTGCACGCACAGCCAACCAACACGCGCCTTCTAGACGTGGATTTTTAATTAAAAGCACGTGGAGAAGTGTGGAACGACGACAACGAAAACAACCGCAAGATTACATTCGTATAGAGCCTTTCACGTGGGGAGGATTTATTTATATATAGTATAACTATGGGACTGTATAGTTCACATTTTAACGACTTTCAAAAGTTTTAACGACTTTCAAAAGTCGCTAAAACTTTATCCTTGATTTTTATTTCGCTTTCCCACAGTTCATTTATCCGTCTCTCTTCTCTGTTCGAGGTGAGTGAATGCGGGCTGGGTTAGCGTGCCCTCTGAGATCATGCCCCGAGACTTCAACTCACGCTAATGTACTTTTAATCATAATTGATTTAGCCACTGACTGAGTATCGTGACCCGGTCTATCAGATACTCATGAAAGCTCTGGAGTACATTTTCATTTTATTTTCGGCGATCCTCGTTTTCAAATGCCTTGCGCCACCAGACCCCTGTGATCTCCTTACCGTCCGACCAACCGCTCCGCTCTGCCAACCTCTACCCTGCCTCATGTGTCGCCCGTTCTACCCCATAGTTCGGTGAGCTTTCATTCCCCCTCTCGCTCTTCCGTCTTCAAAACCTTTCAAAAAATGTGGTTGACTACCTCCTCCGTTAGCTGCCTCCCAGCGTAGGCTCCCACTCCATCTTCTTTAGTCGGTTGAACCCCAGCATTATTCCCAACGCACACTTTGGGGTCCTCAGCTTTACACCAACCTGGCTCAGCTCCTGCCCCAGTCACCTACTCAAGAAGCCGACTGACGCTCACTTGGCAGCTGGAACTATTGAATCCACAGAGATTCCAGGAACCACTTCTCCTGTAGCAAATGTTTGCCGTGGCATCAACTGGCTTCGCTGGTCTGGCCGGGGTACCTATCAGTCGTGACATTCTGCACAAACGGACTTGGAGCTTTAGTGATTCGAGCGAAGCAAATGTAGCCAAGTTTAGGTGCCAGTTCAATGCGCTCAGGGGTTATAGCATCTGGAGTTCAAACAGATGTAAAAGCAGCACTGGTGTGTTTTTTAATGCTCAGCTGGATGGTAAAAGCTCACAATCTCTCCCCCTCCACACCCGGATTTCAAGCCATTAAATCCATTTAATGGTGGAAGAGTCTGACTGAACAGTCAAAGCACTAGTCCACAGCAGAGAGCTTCAGTCTGGGTTCAAGCTCTACATTGGGACGTGGAGCTCAGTCTGGACTGACATCGCAATGTGTTGCTGGAGGTTCTGTCAACAAAAACAACAACAGCAGCAGCAACAACAACAAATTACATTTGTGTTGCGCCTTGGTACAGATGCTGATTTGACCAGATATGGAGTCCTGGGTTTATTCATCCACAATAGCTGTCTTTATAAGTCATTGCGGTGTGTTGGTGTGCGTGTGTGGGGGGGGGGGGGGGGGGAGGTGGAGAGATTCCAGCTTAGAACTACGGCTATAATACGTCTCGGGATTTACTGCCAAGTGTAGCGACTGTGTATTTTGTAGGTAACGCAGCAGCCAATCTCACAAATAACCCTGAAGTGAATGAGCGATTTTATTCAGAGGTGGGGGGGGGGGGGGGGGCGTTAAAAATAAAGTTTCCCCGGTCTACGTAAAAAAATTAAGTCAATCTACAAAAACTAGAAATGAATTTAAAGCCCTTTCCGGATCAAACAACGGGGAATATCAGCTGAGCAGATCACACACACACACACACACACACACACAAAAAAAAAAACACACACAAAGATTAAGTTTTCAGGAAAAGAAAAATGACCTATTAACGTTTCAGAGAAAGACTCGATTGCCGTGTATCAAGATGATTTTATTAAAAGGTTATTACACTAGGATATTGCACAAGGTTAAGTAAAGATGCCACAGCTATTTGAAAGGACGTCCCTAATGGAAACTGAACGGATTTGTGCCAGATCGAGGAGGGAGGGTAAGGGAAAGAGGAGGGAGAGAGAGAGGGAGAGAGGGAGGGATGGAGAGTAAGAGAGGATAAGGCAGAGAGGGAGGGAGGAAGGGAAGGGGGGGTAAGGGGGAGAGGGAGAGAAGGAGGGATGGAGAGAGAGTGAAAGAGGAGGGATGGAGAGAGAGGGAGAGGGGAAGGGAGAGAGGAGAGCGGAAAGAAGGCGTCACTTCTCTTGCGAGTCAAAGGGAGAGTCGCTCTCGCTCCGCTCCTGGTTGCCATTTTTCTTGCGGTTCCTCTCGGCCATGACAACAGCGGCGATGACAGTGACGAGGACGGTGGCGGTGATGACCAGCACGGTGGCGGTCTCGGCCATGCACAGCTGGGAGTCCACGGCCACGAGGAGGGAGCCAGCCAGTGAGCCGGGGTCCGAGCAGGTGATATTGGAGTAATCGTCCACGTGGAGGTGACGGACACTCAGAACCTTGCCAAACACCCTCTGCAGGTCGCAATCACAGATCCACTGATTGTCCGCTAGCTGGAGGTGAGTGCCTTGGGTCTGGATGTTCAAGAAGATCTTGAACGTCAAGTGGCTCAAGCGATTGCCGTTCAGACCCAGCAAGCTCAGGCTGCGCAGGGAAGCGAATGCCTCCAACTGGATGGAGGAGATGTTATTGCGCTCCAGGTGCAAAGCCTCCAGGCTCTGGAGCATGAAGAAAAATCCGTTCTCGATGACGGTCAGGCTATTGTCCTTAAGCAGCAGATTCCGCAACTTTGTCAAGCCTCTGAAGACGCCTTTCTCCATGGACCCGATTTGGTTGCCGCTCAAATCCAGTTTCTCCAGCTTCTCCAAGTACCGCATGCTGTTATAATGCAGGTACTCGATCCGGTTGTGGGAGAGTTTCAGCTCCGTCAGGTGCTGGAGGCCATTGGAAAAGTCCTCGGGGAGATGCTTCAGACGGTTTCTATTCAGGTCCAGTCTTTCCAGGAAGCCCAAACCCTCGAAGGCTCCGACGTGTAAGAGTTCCAGTTGATTGCAGGACAGCAGGATGATCCGCAGGGACCACAAACCACTGAAGGAAGCAGCCGGGATTTCGGTCAGGTTGTTGGACCTCAAGTCCAGCATCCAGGTACCGTATGGGATGCGTCCTGGGACGAGGGACAAAGCGCGGCCCTTGCAGTCCACGAAATGCGAGAAGTCGTGACACGAGCATCGATGGGGGCAGACCTTTAACACTCCCACCTGCAGGGAGCTCACCAGGGCAACCAGAGGGCACACGAGCAGTGCCAAGAGCATTTTGCGGATCAGTTCCCACGCTTCGGAAGGGGTTAAGCGCTCTGAGACGCTGCCCCGCGCGGAAAGCGTTATATAAGTGCAAGTTGTTGTTGGTGTTGGGTTCCGCGAGGGTGGGGGAATAGTTTGACCCGAAGAACTTTTCTCTAAGGCTTCTTTCGCAGCAGTTTCACAACGGCCTTTGCTGTGCAATCCCTTCTTTCTTGTGAAGTATCTGGGCAGTGACTTTAGTCTGGTGGTTTGAGACAAAATGCAGTTTGGGAAATTGGTGAATTGCACCCTCATTTGGGCCAATTTTCCGCTACGTTAAAAGGCTCAAATCATCCCTTTTCTCAGTATCTCTCTTCGTCAACCATCCCCCAACGCCTTCCTTGTGTTAATTATTCAACACACTTTTCTTTGGAGGGGTGGGAGTGCCGGGAGGCTTCTTCTCTCTCTACCTCTCATGATTCCTTCATCTCTTTGACTCCTCCAAATAATGCGCTTCTTGGATATCCCACGTCAGGTTAAAAGCCGCGAATCTGAATGGAAACATCGCAAAAATCAGGAGGGTTTCCGAAGTTTGGTTGACGTAATATATAAACAATAATAATATTAATCCTTCCATTTAATATAGCGCCTTATCAAGTTTTCAAGACGTCTCAAAGTGCTTCACAGCCAATTGCGCACAGCAGTGTCCCACAAACAGTCGCGGATTGAGTGACAAATTTATTGTTACTACTTTTTTTTTAGAAGGAATTATTACCCCCGGAAAAGCGATCCGCCAATCGACTAGCAACCGGGTTCCTACTGACTGCCAGGTAAACAGAGGGGTGTGGAGTAAGGAAACTTCATCCTGCCGGGAATCGAACCCAGTTTTCTCACTTGCGAGGCGAGCGCTCTAACCACTGAGCTACAGGGCTTGACGTGGTGTCATTGACAGTTTTCATTGACAAAAAGGATACAAAAAGCAAAAAAAACAAAAAAGCATGGCCTCTCCCTCACCTCCCCCAGGTCCAACCTCAGTAAACCCGAGGAGGTCCAAATCATATATAATACCAGCAGCATTCCAGGACATTTCCCCTATCTCTATCGCCGACAAGATATACAGTCAATTCACTTTGCAATGTAATCTGTGAAGACCACGTGATAAGGCGCTATATCAAATGCAAGGATTATTATTATTAGTGGTAGTATTATTATCTGAGTGCAAAGAGCTGTGGAAAAAAAATCTAGATTGCACTTAGGTGTAGAAACTTGGGAGTTATTCTTCATAGGGAGGTGGGTTGATTATAGACGTAAGTGTATAAACTTTAAAGAGAAAGTGGGGGAAATAAAAGCAACCCTGAACGTTAGACTCTCATGGACAAGAACTTAAGACACGGCATTAACATCTACTCAAACCTTGTTGGTCCTTTTCCACCCAACTACCATTCGCTACCCCTCAGGTTCACTCCACACGAGTTATATCGAGTTCTATCCCAATTCATTTCATAACCCATCCAACAATGTCACGTAGAGTTATGTAATAAACAGGAGCCCAATTAGTGATGGTCTCAAACAGAGGGAGAGGGGGAAGAGAGAATACAATGATTTGATTGACACTCACCTCCTTTTTCTTTCTTTCTCGCTCTCTTTCTCTCGCTGTCCTCGACACACGCTGCTGCTGGTCTGAGGTGTTCTGTTCCCCAAGCTGCTGCTTTAAACGGCTTTATGTGCTCTCTTTCATCTGAGCCAATGAACATCTGGCATCTCGCTTTGCGTCCAACCTAGTCATCGTGTTCCCAGGTAAGATGCTGGGTCTACCACCACGCCCCCCACCACCCCCCACAACCCAACACACCAACGAGTTCCCCCCCTCCCCACCCCACACGCACTCACACACACACACACACTTCCTCTCACCTCATCCTGTCAATTGAGACTATAATAAAGATCAGATCTCTTCATGATAGTCTTTTATCTTATCCTATTTCACCCACAAAATACAGTCAATTCACTCAATCCACGACTGTTTTTGGGACGCTGCTGTGCGCAATTGGATGCCGTATTTCGTCCACAAAATGCAGTCAGTTCTGTGAAGCGCTTTGAGACGTCTTAATGACCTGTTGAGGCTCAATATCAAATGCAAGGATTATCATTATTATTATTATTATAATACCTCACTAACCCCCACCACCTCAGTGCGGTGTCAGCCTGGACTGTGAGCTCAAAACCCCAAGATTGAACTGGAGCCCACAACCTTCTGAGGATGGAGATCAATGATAGTGTGAGGGAGTCTGGTGCAGGAGAGAACACGGGCTGCAGACTTTTGGGGTTGGAGTTTGTGGAGAGTTGCAATAGAGGGTTAAAAAAATGTTTGGAAGTACTCAAGATATGATCTCAGAAAGGAACGAGAATGGATTTCCAATATTGTCAGTCTCACGCGAAGGGTTGCAATCCAATATCATGTCAATATCACCGCAGAGAGAGAGAAAAAAAAATCTGCCTGTTTTTTCTACGGAGCGTCTTGAAGCATTTCACGGGTTTTACTGTAAAGTGTAGTGACTGTGTGTTTGTAGGCCAATGCAGCAGCCAATTTGCCCATGGCAATATCCCCCGATAGTTTTATTGTGAAGCTTTATTTTACTTTTTTACTGGTTCGGTCATTTAGTCCACGACTGTTTGTGGGACACTGCTGTGCGCAATTGACTGCCGCGTTTCACCCACAAAATGCAGTCAATCCACTTAACAATATATTCTGGGAAGTACTCTATCAAATGCAAGGATTATTATTATTATTATTATAATAGTATCTAATGTGTAAAAGACTGTATTTCAAAGAGAACCAAGGAAATCTGGTGTCAATTTTAAATATATGGAATTTTTTTTAGAGTTAAATAGGAAGACAATAAGAATTGATCGTGACAGCTGTGCATTGTACATAACATGTCACCTTGGATATTCTAATAATGACTATATAATAACCCGTGCATTTGACATAGCGCCTTATCACGTTGTTGAGAGATCTTAAAGCGCTTCACAAAATATACCCGAAAGTGGAGTGACTGTGCATTTCAGTTGGGCGAAACGAAAATGATGGAATTATACATTATACAATATAATCAGACAAAGCTCTTGATTGTTAACAGAAGTTACATACAAGATTCCTGTTGTACCAAATGGTCTGAAACGAGATGCGGTTTAACAAGAGACCAGAATTTCCCCGAGTAAGAAACCTGACCCCATTAACTGTTCTGCGTGTGATCACGTGGTGCCTTAGACTTGCAACCAGCAGATTGCTTTTCCTACCTCCTATCAAATTGAAACGTAATCTGGATATATCCCCACTAATGCCATCTAAACATCCTCTCCTGTTCCAGCACATTGCGATGCTTTGCACGGCACTTAACATCCATCTTTGCCCTCCAGATCGCAATACAGAACAATTAATGAGCTTTCCGATGCTCTGTATTGCGAGTCGCAACTATATATAGTTTGACATTTTGTTCCTTGGCTTCAAGTTGAAATCCATCTCCATTTTAAAATACATAATAGTAGTAGTAATAATAAATTTGATACAGAGCCTTTCAAGTCTGGAGGATGTCTCAAAGCGCTTCACAGGGTTTACTTTAAAGTGTAGTGACTGTGTTTTTTTAGATGAATTTGTAAGAATGAAATGTGTGGTTAGGGCTTTGTTTCTGTCCAAGAACTTCATGATTTCTTTATAATATGTGTCCTATACTGTATAGAATTTCCCTCTGATAGTGTAATTTAAAAAAACAATTATATACAGAATTACCTGAATGATTTAAAAGAACGTTACAACAACTTGTATTTATATAACACCGTTCACGTGGAATAGGGTCTCGGAGCGCTTAACATTGACGTAGTTTGACCCAATAACCCCAATGGTTTTGCTTCTACTACAATACTTGGCCAATTATTCTTAACGTTCATCACGTTTTAAATTCAGAACCAGGCTCCACACACCCACCCCCCCACCAAACACCCTCCACCAGCTCCCAAACCCTAATAGGTCGACTTTGAGATCACTCTCCTGACTTTTAAGCCCCTTCTCGATCTTGACTCTCCCTATGTTTCCAAACCCTTCCTATTCCCTAGTTTCTTGGTTTACTTTGAACCCAAGTCTGCATTTGCCGCCACGTTTACTTTATGCCGCCATTATAGTAAATTTCACAAGGCTCGACGACGTGATAAGTCGCTATATCAAATGCAAGGATTATTATTATTATTACCTCGCGGCTGTTTGTGAGACGTCACAGGCACCAATTGACTTCCAGTTTTACCTGCTCGACAACAGTTGACAACCTACACTTTGGGTTGTTCAATGCGTTGAGACGTCAATTTAAATTATTACCCCTGAAGCTTGTCACTGACATCTCCTCGCATTGCTTACATCTATCAAATATTTTGAAGCTCCCAAACACACCAACAGGTTGATGGGAGCTCCAGGCCTGAGGAAACTCGAAGACAAGGTAACGTTACATTATTTATGTTACCTCATGTTATCTGAGTTTCTGCCAGTGTCCATTTCATTCACTCAGCAAACCCGCTGTCCATTAAAATGATATAAAATTCATTGAACGATCCATTATTCATAAAGCTTCAAATTTACAACCGAAAGAATGACAATTGTTCTTCGTTGCCAAACAATCTCATGCGTTTGTTTCACAATTGGCTGATTCATTAGAAACATAGGGAACAAATTAGTTAACGAGATGTTCTGAGTGAGGATTAAGGTACACCTTTACACAGAAGGCATTCAATGGGCTGGAACTCATTACCAGGCAAGGTGACTGAGGTCAAGATGTTTGGGCCCATTTAAGGAACAATCTGATGCTGTAATGGGAGGACGGGAGGGTTGATATTCCACTGAGGATGAGATCAAATTCTTCATCAAGGTTCCCTCCTGGATTCCGGAGCTGACAAGTTGGCTTTTGATACAGCAGGAAGAAAGTGTCGGGAGGAAAGGCGGTAAGCTCTCTGGGACACTACCCTACGTGAGGGGTGCTATACAAATG